ACAACTCATCAAAACCAACGGCTCTTTTCAGAGCCACCACATGTATTAAAAGAGGTTCTTCTTGCTCTGTCCGGACTCTGTGCAGGCTAGGGTATAGGGGGATTAAGGAGGCCTAGTATTAAACTTAAAATGCAACTCCCAAAACAGAATTTAGGTTTAGCGTTGTGCCAAATATGAAATAGGCCCAGGCCTTAGCCCCACTTTAAAAAATAAATGAACAGAAGTTTACCTGTCGTTGTCACCGTTTCAATCTGGTACAAACACACTATAGCCACCATCATCAACATCACCGCGTGTCTCGTCTTCGCTGCACCGTGAATTGTTCCCGAACGTCGGTAGGCGCACCTGCCTCTCCGCGTCAGGTTTCTGGGTGATTTGGAGATCATTTTCCCGCCTGCCATTTTTCACACAATTCAAAAGTTGGCATCCATGGAGAACACAGCATACAGAGACTTTCCTTTCGACCCAAACACGGCAGACGTAGCAGTTGGTTACGACAGCTACGTTGTATAAATCCAACCTACTCACAATTACACGGCAAAATGATAATTTCCACTCTTCCGAGCCGCGCATGCATGATTCAGTTTGGTTAAGTGGTGCTCGCACGAGGCGATTTTCTGCTGGCGGGAGGAATTGTTTACGATCAAACCGCAGGAAAATAAATTGCCACCCCTGTACCATATAATGGACACTTCCCTTGGTCCAAGAATTCGCTGTAATAATTAATGGTTCTCCATCAATCAATGAACTCATTTTCCAATTATTGTTGTGTGAATTTATCACGAATAATTAAACCAAACCTTTGACTTTTTTAATCAATGAGAATCTAACACAAAGTGATGATCGGTGCACTTTCAAATTGTTTTATTTGACACGTTTTCATAATTAGTTCATACAAGTTGCAACCCACACACACTACATTGCAATGAACAGCTCTAATCATCAGTGGACGGTTTGGGAATATTTCCCCCAAAGGTGGTTTAAAAGCACAAAATATTTACACCAGCAGGCTTACATCAAACTTTAATATCTGTGGAAAACGCTTTGACAAAACATTTCCTATCTTCACATAAATAGCGCCATACACATTATTGACCACACTTTGGTTACAATACACGTATATACATTATGCAAATGGCTTGCCACAAAAAAGCAACTTTAAATTGACTAGCGACAAAAATGGCAGAATTTTCCGTCAATAGTCCGGAAGAACTCATCTAGAAATCTGATGCATTTTTAAAAAAGTTTTCATAATCAAACTGTAACAAGTTATTTTAAATAGGCCCTCATGAATATGCATGATCAAAACTGGAGACAGAATTTCTTTTATTCCAGTATTCTGTAAGTCACATAGTAACACTCTTGAGAACACAGCAAATCTGTGGTGAGATGTGTGGATATTTTTCGACAACAAAGCACAGACAAACTCCAAGTGCACAAATATTCACAAAAAGGAGAATCTTGCTTGGAGGAAATATGAGGAGAAATATCATATATACCCTGATAAATCTTTCCTTGAAAGCATGGCATATTGAGTCCAAACTCTGAAACGAAAGACGGAAAGTTTCTTTGGCAACTGATTCTGGTTCAACTTAAAAAAAAACAGCAGTACTGGGATTATGTACAAACTTGAATGATTTATTGTGTACAAGAAACCTAACTTTTTGCAATTGCTATGCATGCACAATTTTCTCTGAGATAAGTAATGTGATAACTATTTGTCTGAGACAAGTTAAATAGGATGTAATCCTCTCAAGCGAGTTCATGAAAGTGTCCGACTGCCTCTCTTGGATAATGAAGAAAGGATTAAGTGCAGGAGATATCCGTTAATGTAAACAGAGTGCTTTTCCTTGACTGCTACAAGTTTACCAATGAATAACAGCTGTCACAGAAAGCTAGTGACTGACAAGCAAGCCAAGCCCCCAATCTAATGGATTCATGCAGATACAGTGAGGGCGCTTTGCTTCCAAACAAGAGCCCACCATGGGAGCATTTTGTATACACTATGGATCATGTGCGTCAACACTTAAATTGTGTATCCAATAAATTTTGAATGGAGGTGAACAAACTTTTAAGAGAAATAATGATTGAATGCCCTGTTTTGACATTGAGGTTGATCTCATTCAACGCTGAGGTTATATTTATGTTACACTAATGTACACAGTATCAGGGAACTTCTCAGTAAATACACCCAACCTCACAATGACGGGACCCTCCATACATATTACATACACATGTAAACTATGCAGCAAAACTTCTGGTTAGCTCATCAAAATGTCAACTTCCTAGCTACTGATCAGTATTTGGGAGACATTTGGGAGCCAGTCAGTGAAGCAGTTCATGAGCGGCAGAAATAACCTGTCATCACTACAACAGATTAGTTTGTTGGCCAGCAACCTTGCCAGTTGTCACCAGCCAAGTGGTCCATTTGCCAGCCAGCTGGCAAGAAGACACCTAATTCCCCATTTCATCTTTCAAGCAACCAACCAGCTGGCTATCATCAGCCATCTTGCCAGCCAACCTACTATTACCAGCCATCAGTGATCAACACCCACGTCAGCAATCAGCCTGCAAACCAGCCGAAGGACACCCAAATCCTGTCATCAAGGAGCCTCGCCAATAGGCACCAGGTCCGCCTGATGCTTCTCTACCCTGTCAAGGAGCTGAGATGCCACTGGGCAGAACTCAGTGCGCCAGTAGGACCTCATAAACTCCCTGGTCTCTGCATCCCACTCAATGTCCTCCGGAGTCTCCATCGCAGTATCCTCATCTGATTACAAATAAGGAAAGGAATTTCAAACGACAAAATGAACAAGTTACCGATTGCGTCTTACAATGACACTCAGCAAAGATCCAAATTTGTCAGATTTTTACCAAGAAAATCTGCTAATTTGTCGATGAGATTTCCTGTTTCCTGTTCTCCAAAGCAGTCAACGGAACTCGTGATGTTCTCGCTGTAGTTCCACAGCGTCATGCACACCATACCAGCAAGCTGCCAATCCAATCGACCAAAGTCCACCAGAACATCGATCAATCTGCAAATGGAGAGGACAGAATTCCATGCTGAAAATTTTTGGTACCAGTTCAATTCTTTGAAATGGACGAGTAGAGTCAATTATTACATAATAGAAAGATTTAGAAGATGTGTTTTTGAGTATTAAAGGCACCTTCACCACAATTCAAACGGGCATTTTGTCATTAATCCTGGCCTACTTTTTGATTCCTCCTTCCTCTTTCAGTATGTGCCTTCTGCAGTCATCTGCCATCAGGTTGATGAGCACACCACAAGCTGTGTAGACCACTTCCCTGTTTTGGGCGTCGAGCAACGTCACCATCATTTCATCGACTGAGGGCAAAGAAATCGTAAACATTCGTTATTATTCATAAGGATGAGACAGCAACATGTGATTGGCTTTGAGGGTGTCAGACAACCTATTATAATGCATTTCTGTTTTGTTTCACCTTTTTTAGAGGTTAGGTAGTCCCTGACTTCCGCTGCCCGAGAAAGGTTACCAAAGACTCTGGCTGCTTCAATCATACCCTCCATGTTGTCAGTCATTAACAACTTCAGAAGCACTGGTGGCAAGAGTGTAAGAAATACATTATTTACTTGATTGATGCAACAATCCCAATTATTACCATCCCATAGCGCCCTCTACGATAATGCACAAGGCCTATAACCGTCCCTCATCCCTCTGTCCATGATCATGGCATACTCACATCTGGAAATCTCCATCCTCCTCTCAACAATCTCGCTGCCGATGACATCATAGAAGGACAGATTGTTGATAGTGATGACAGTGTTTAGAACAAGTTCTTCGCTTGTGCGTACGTCCTTGTAATCTGCAAAAATAGAAAAAGATGAAACTGCCAATCCTTGCAACAGAGTTGAACTTAATAAATACATAACATACAAACTGTGTATTTTTTGTATATTTTCCTTACCAAGGATCTGCATGAGCTGGTCGACGCAGTTCTCGTTGGAAGCAATCAATGGCCCGATGTCATTATTGATGGACAGGTTAGCAATGACTCGAATAATCTTAATTAATACATCCTCCATCAGGTTTGTAGAGCTGGTGTATTCACTGTTACCATTTTGAGAATTGACTGTATTCTCTTCTGTCAATTTTGACTTCTGCAGAGAAAAAACAAACAAACAAACAAACAAATTTTTTATTATTACATATGACCAACACGATCAGAAAAGGCAACTTTGGTAATAAATGCAGCAATTTGCTCAAATTCAAGAACAAGTTAGAAACAGGCCATCTTTACAGATATATACAGGATTATGTTTTATTCTGCATGTTTCGTCGACACAAAATTCGCAAAAAAATGAAAAATAAAATGGGCACTGGACTTACCTGTAAGCTTTTGACAAAATGATGTCGCAGCACATTGAGCAACGTTTCCATGGCATTCTCGGCATTGAAGAGACAGTACCTGAAGTCATCGTTCTTGGCCGTCATGTTACCCAAAGCAAAGCTAAGCCTGACAACCACGTCTGGCTGATCCTGGTAACGACTTATCAAGGCTAGGAGAGACTGGAAAGCTGAGGGATATTCACCTACGGCCGTGCAACACTCAGGAATTACCGTCAGCTTACTGAAAAAACAAACAGAAGTTTGTCATAAAAAGTTCCAAATCATATACGGACAGACCACGAGTTGAAGACAATGTACTCTTCCTTTGACACATCTTTGTTCTTTGTGTTCTGAGAGAGTACATTATATTTAAAGGGTGAATTATAAATGGCGAATAAACTGGACATAACTCACTGGCTCAGGTGCACTGCTTATGCAGTAACATATGAGACTGCATACCCGGGCAGTAGTATTTTTCCAAAAAAGAGTAAGTAAGCTCTTTTCAAATCTTTCATAATATTCTAGACAATAAAAACAAATGAACCAATTCTTTTATCACGATTCAAGAATTCTAACTCTCTGGAGGAATCGTCTACACTGACAGTGGCGGTCTGCACAGCCAATATATTTAAAAGAAAAATGTTAATATAGTTAATATATTTAAAAGAAAAATCACTGTGTGCTTTTCAACTGAATAATCTAGAAACCTGAATATTCTGGCAATGTGCATCGTGATGTCAGCATCGCTGGGGTATAGTTCCATGGAACGGCAAATCTCTGAAATGGTGTGGTGCGACATAAACAGTGTCTGATGGTCTTTGTGATTGAGGAAGTTACGCAGGGTGGAGAGCAGCTGCAACATGATACCGGCTGAACCTTTGGCCAACTTGCCACCTTGGGAATTCTATCAAATGGAAACAAAACTGTAAGTTTGCTTCTGCAAAATAAGAGAATAGTTTTAGAAGAATTCAAAGTATTTTCGTATTCATTATGATTCTGATTTTCAATTTACGCTTTCTGAATATTTATCTTTACAAATTCCTATGAAATTCATTTGAAATTCCATAAAACGTCTAACTTACCACTTCATTGACAGAGGCCATTATCCTGACGACATGCCGAAAAGTTCCAAGCTTGACAAACTGTTCCAATATCTGGCTGTGGTTTTGGGTCAGGAAACGAATGGAACCAACCAAGTATACCAACAGCTCATGGGAGTGAGTACGGAAGTCAAGATCCTGAAGAAGAACCATGATTAAATCTGCACAGAAACAAATGAGTTGGAAATTGGAGACAGTGCTAAGCAAGAATTTTCATATCTCAATTAAAATGACCTTTTGTGATGTAGGTAATTTGCAACAGCTATTAGCTTTGGTATTTGGCTGGAGTTTTCTGTACTTACCCAAAATATTATCTTCTAGGAAGAGTAGATCATTGTTGTTGTCTTTGCTGACTTTCAGGATTAACTTGCTCAGCATATTCAAGTTATTTCCACTCACACCCAGCTAAAAAGAAACAGAAAATAATCCAAGTAGGAACTGCAAAATAGAAATTGCAAGCAAATTATTCAACAATAAATGAAGCAAATTACTAATTTTTGATAAAGAGTTGTGAGTACTCACAGCCATCATCAGTCTTGCAGCCTGAAGTTGCACCCTAGGATTGCTGACGTCGATCAGCTTAAAAATCGCCCGCAGCGCCGTACGCCGTCGCTTGCAGGCTTTGCCAAGCATAGAACCCTCGTCTAAGACATTATAAAGAGCCTTGCAGGATGTACATAACCTCGCCTCCTCTGATTCTTGGACAAATCCTGGATTTTTATACAAGTGTACCACAAGCAGATGATGACAATGTCAAATGTGTTATGTAAAATGTGATGGAGTTTCAAAAACCTGCGAGCAAATAAGGGCTCTTTTGTCGTAAACAAAAACTCATCAACACAAATACCTCTAGTAAGAAAAATATCAGACTACACCTGTCAAAATGTGTCCCTGGCATTCATTTCTCTGAATTTATTCACAACTGTCCAGAAAAACAGTTTAATTCCAAAACTATTCATCACAAGGTCAAGACTTGATCTGATTTCATCTAAACAACAAAAGCAAACTGATTTCCGAACTACCTGTATGCTCAGGTACAAGTCTTTCCAGCACAGGGTTGACCTTTGTGTTCCAATAGAGGGCCTCCTCTGCTGTTTCCTCTTCACGGCTGCTATCTCCTGACCGACTGCCACTGGATGCGCGGTCGCTGACGTAGCCACTCTCTGCCCTCGATGAACCACTGCTCTTGACGCGCTCTCTAAAGAAACCAATACAAGAATTAAACCAAGAAAAAAGCAATGTTTTCATAGTTGAGATGTAACTGATTATGGAGAATGTCTCCTAAGTGTTGTTAGTATTAATTGTCATTAATATTTAACTACAAATACCAGTTGGGTGAGTCATAGCTTTATAATGGAATGCCAAATTATAACAAAATATACAGTACGGTAATTGAAACTGATATCTCTTTCCGAATCCATCAAAAATATATTTGCAGCCCTGTGCCCAGTTTCTACTAACGTTGTAAGAATCTGGATTCTAAGATTACATAACTTGAGTGACATCTTCTACCTTTCTTTTCTGTGTACTGGTACGCTGTCGGCTGATTTGACTCGGGGTATGCCTTCCTCAAGCGGAGGTCGAGTCCTCTCTTTGGGCCCACTATGCACCCTTCGCTGGAGCTGATCATCAGTGGGCGGGGTCGGGGACGGAAGAGGGTTGGACAATCTTCTCTCAAGAGGTTGGGGTAGGATTTGGACTGGTAGGAAAGATAGCATTCAAGAAGTAATGGCAGATACTGAGGTTGGTAATGTTGGACCTAACTGAGCTAGACTTAATTTCTTAACTCTGTTCTTGGAAAGAAGAGAACCAACGCTTACTGCACAGGTGAATTCCACTGGATAAAAATTTGGCTTTCTCTTCCTCTACTCACCGGAACTTCCATCTTTACTCAGAGCGCTCTTCAACTTGTGTGTCCGTCGCTTGCCAGACATGGGGCGGGATGGGTCTAGAGGAGGGGGTTTGGGAGGCTTGGCCAGTTGAGGAAGACTCTCCCCACTGGAAGACGGTGATACTGGGCTCAGGGACTGGCTTGGACTCTTTGGGATAAAGGTGATGGTTCTTTTAAGAAAGAGCAATGGTCGACTTCTAAGCCTCCAGACTCTAAAACTTCAAAGGACTCAGAAATGGTGTGAGATGTGCCAACTAGCAAGCTGTGTTAACTTAGACATTTTGAAATTTAAAAACTGAAATTTGTCCTTTTTTTCTCCTCCATCACTGGAGTAAAACAGGTGTTTTCACATAACTCCAGTTACAAATCAGATGATTTCTCATTCCTGGACCACACATTTCAGTATGTAAATTTTGACATACATGGATCTTTCAGTGACTTGACTTACGTGATCCAAGGGAGTGAGCCTGGTATTTGACTTTGGTCTGATGTCACTGCCATCAAAATGACGGGCACCCAAGCTGCAAGAAATACATCACAAGTTTGCAAAATGTACTTCAGACTTGTATCACAAATACATTTATCACTCAATATACTACACCCTGAGGTAGGCTGAAGCTTTAGTTTTCTTGTACAATTTCATCATTTTTTATCACCACAACTAACAAACTGATTGGCATCTTCAGCAAAAGAAAAATTTGGAGAGTCAGGCTGACAGGGTAGCGTTTTCTTTACTTTCCACTTCTGTGACCCAGGTTCAAATTGAACCCAAGGCAACACATCAGTGTACGCTAATTTGGTCTCACCTAAAAGCAGATGGTGGTCTGTCACTTGGGCTCTTTGATGGGCTACCACCGAACAGCGTTCTCTTGTCGTCCTGGGGTGTGAACGGTCGCTTTGTGCAAACCGTTCGCAGGGATGACCTGGCCTCCTTGATGATATCTGAGCTGGTCTCGACATTGGCAGGTTTCTCATAGAAAGGCTTCAACTCCTTCAGTTGCCTCCGGCTCTGTGGAGGCTTGTTGACTTGGGCCATCCTGGAACATGTTGATTAAAAATGTAAAATATCTGGAACAATAATTCAATAGTCTTACCATGAAACAAATAAAAATCATTCACAATAGACAGGGATTATGATTACGATGATGCAGAATGAACCACTGTAAACGGGGGACTGACAAGTGGCCCAAAATCACAAATCATGAAAATGTTGACACTAAAAAATGAAATCAACATGTCAAAAACATACCCAATATCAAGGGCTAGCGGCTCTGTAAATGAACATGACACTCAAAGCAGTACAATCAGTGTGTATTTACAGGATTAAGAAACCACATCAAACATGTCCCATTACTTAGCCTAGGAAAGAGTCGAGTTCCATATACAGGGATATGGATGCCACTTTGACACCCTGTGCACAAACCGCATGGGACTGGTATAAAAAATTTTGTTTTTTAAGTAAACGACTTGGTATTTTTCGTACTAAATTGAACTTTTCTGGACATGTTTTTGCTTTCTGACGGCTAATAGGTCACGGTAGGGAATAATGACTGGTGTCCGTACATGTAACTTTTACCCAAATAAGAGTTACGATATGCACCACTAAACATGTTGAACATAATGATGAAGGTCCCGCTTACGACGGCAACTTTACACATAAAATTTGCGCCATACATACCTCCGTCTCGCACCTTTTAACACCTACAACAGTTAAAAAAATCTTGTAGACTTCTTTGAAATAGAGCAAAATGAAATCAGACAATAAGATCTGCGTCATTTATTTAATTTATTTTTGACCACTAACCTTAAAAATCTTGTAAGAGAAATCGTAAGCTTTCATAGCTACGAACAGCGCCCTCTTTGGGAGAAAATGCAATTAATCTTTTGGCTGTTATTTTACCAGTGGGGCAAATTTCTAGCGTCTATAAATAATGTAGAACAGCAGGTTTACCTTCTAATGAGCATATTTTGGAATTATTTTTGGATGTCAAGAATTGGAACCAAACAGGTCTGTTTATAAAACTAAACAATGAAAAATCTAATAAAGTAATATTTTTTTGGAATTACCACGCGTGTCATTGTGGGAAATCAAGCGCGCATATCTGCACGCTATGATTTGGCATGGCGGCTTTTCATGGAGCGAAATCGAGCGTGCGCCACTAGCCAAAGAGTTTATCAAAAACCCGTCGTGTACTTCAGATCTCCTGTTCTTTAGTAAACTGACGATTGTTTGAAGACTCAAGCATTTGTTCAGAAACAGAAATCGTCAGGTAATCGAGGAATGTTCCAATGTAATTGAAAAACAATGCCCGAAACTGGCTGACCTTCGCCGGCTCCGGTCTTGTTGGCAGAAGTCTGGTCTTCGCCGCTTCATTGTGAATGTGCTGTGGTTACTAACCGCATTCAACACCGTCTGCACCAGACTGTGCATGGAAACAGTGCTGCTAGTGCCAGAGCTCTGTGCCAGTCATTCGTGATTTGTCAATGACAATGAACATAATAACTGACATCGTTTTGAAATGAGTTTTAAAGTTCATATAGTACATATTTATTCTTGTTGCATTTAACACAACATGTATTTGCTTCCTACTCGCCTATCCAGACAGGTACGGTACTGGCCTCTGACCCCAGGTTATTTCAGAGAGGGGTCAAGTATTTAAAGGTCATGATTGAGTAGTCTGCTGTGACCTACCTCCATTGGTATCAGGGGTTTAACACTGAGCCCAAAATGTGGCCTGCCCATGGGGGCCAGTGGGGGGCTCAGGCCCAGCAACATTACATGGCCAACGAAGGTGAGTCACACTGAGGTTACTTGGACGAACAGTGTTGGCACACAGTCTGTCTCTTGAGTTAAGCCAGCAGACAATGTACTCTACTTGCTTGTTTAGTTTGATCATTAGCTGGGGGTTTTGCTTGGATGATGTCTGAATCCTGCACTGTCTAGCACTGAAGTAATTGTAGTTAGAATGGTTCATTTGTCCTGACTTCAAAGGATTTGGACCACTTGATTGATCTTAGAATGAACTTGATTAAGGCTTCATGTCCCAGAAAGCATTTGTTGATAACCCAAACTTCTAACCCAAGCTCAAAACTTCCCTGGATTCCTTGAAAAATGAAAGCATTATAGGTCGTATGAAATAGATTTTGGATTTATAAAAAGAACAAATCCAACCCAGCCTGAAGATGAGAATGTTTGTCTAGCTTGTCCAGTTCTCACCTCCATATCCGCAGGCACAGACTGGGCTGCCCTTGCCCAAGAGTGGATCCGCCAACGTTTGGCCGTGGATGCTTTAGCCCAAGAAGCCAGGGAACAAGAACAGCTTCCTCCTCCCCTCCCCCAGGAAGTCCTGCCGCCCCTACCAGACCAGCCTCCACCCCCACTACCAGGCAACCACCAGGATATACCTCACCCTCCACTTAAAGATGGCAGAGGTACATGTAGACATGTGGCAGGTGTTTTTATTTTGTTTGTTTCTTTATGTTACTGTGAGTTTTGTTGCAATGTTGACTGTGTAAAAAACTGAAAATAACGTGATACTGACAAGTCAAACACTACAAATGAACTCCTGGATCTTTTTTGACAGATCGTCATGGAGCCAAGCATTGGCATGAAGATGAGATGCATATGCCCCCTCAGCCTGGTGGGTTCTATGACCGCAGCGGGTGGGAGCCAATCAACACGCACCTCCCACCCCCGGGTCACCCAGATTCCCAACTTATGCCCCCTCATCCACCCATGCAGGTGCCTACTCATTTACCCCCACCTCCGCATCACCTACCCCCTCCGCACCCCCCAATGCCTCCACAGCATCGCTCTTCTCCTCATCACCACCTACCACCCCCGCCCCCTGAGGAGAAGCCCCCTGTCCAGACATTCGACTATGGCCATGGAACTCAGGGGAACCATGGCAGCCATGGTAGTCACAGCAATGGCCAGGTGGTTCCGCAGACCTTCGAACACAATCACGGGCTAGGTGTGGTCAGCGTCAAGTCGGAAGTGACTCACTCTGACTCTTCGCATCGGCACTATGAGTATGACAACCAGCATCAGCCTCCAAGGGAGATTGAGCAGATGCAGGAACAGAGTGAGCCGAAGGAGCAACGTTACCATGACTACCATCCTCCTCCAATGCAGCATCATGAAGGGATGTACATGCAAGATGAGGTGAGCAAAATAATTCACCGTGCAGAAGCGCAAAACTGCTGTAAAGTTAGCATTTAACTTGTTTTTTTGTAAACTTTCTGTGATGTGTCTTATTTCTTTATCTTTCCAGCAATCCTACCAACCCAGCCAAGACTTCTATTATCCGCAGCAGCAGCAGTCAGATTGGCACCATACGGGTCCCAATCCAGACCCTCATCAGCCACATCCAGGCATTCTGCCTCATGTTGATCAGATGCTGAGGATGGATCGTCATGGCAACATCATCCAGGACAGACACTCCCACCGGGGCTACCACGGACATTCGGCTGAAGAGCCAGAAGCCTTAAGTGCAGTTGCTGAACTTGGTGAGGGAATTTTGCGTTCTTGAAAACTTTTGGAGCTATTTGAAAAATGAGTAAATCAAATGGGTTTGACAGGAGTTTAAAGCCGGTCTTAAACGCAAGTTCTGTTGGACACTTTTAGAATACTGAATATCTGTTTGAAGGTAGTCCTCCAATGCAGGCAAGCTTGGTAGTCTAGTTGGAAAAGTGTCTGTGTTTTACTCAGTTATTTGTTTGAGTCCCTCTTGTCATTTGTGATTTTTTTCCGTTACTGCTCTTATCTTGGCTGTGATACTTGGCCAGTGAAGGAATTCAATTATCAACTTTACAGCAAGAGGATTTTCCTTCTGGTTGCTTGCATTCAGATGCTGTTAAGCGCAAGATGTTACCAGCTTGGATACGGGAGGGTCTGGAATCCATGGAGAGGGAGAAGCAGAAGAAGATAGAGAAGGAACGGCAGGAGAAAGAGAAGAAAGAACGACTGGAGGCCAGGAGGAAGGCTGAGCAAGAGGTGGAGAACGAAATCCGTCTAGCTCAGGGCCTACCGCCAAAGTCGAAATACGATGTGAGTGTACGCGATCATGGAGGCTATCTCATAGAATTGGTTTGGCTCTCTCCAAGTTGTACCATTTCAAGGTGGTTTTGGTTTACCAAAGTGACCACGTGTGCAAACTCTAGAGGGCTGGTTGAGAAGTTAGCATGTTACACCATATTTTCACTGTTGCTGTACATTGCACACTGTTGGTATTGGTCACCACGGTATACCACGTCATGCTTCGTATTGCAGGATGCCAAGGCCATTAACCCTAACGTGTTTTATTTTGCATTTTGTTGATTATAGAAAAGGCAGTGATATATTGGTGTCAATAAAGTGCACTTTGGATAGTTTCATTGCAGTTTAACCCACACCCTTGGGACTCAGGGTTAAAATCAAACAAAAATGCCTTAAATATGTATTCATTTGATTCATTTTGTGGCTCGTGTTTCACTCTGGACAATTTACAGGATAGTGATGAGGAGTCGGAACATTCCTCCAAGAAGTCAGAGGTATCTGATGATGATGATGAGGAGGATGCAGACAAGGAGAAGGAAGGATCTTCCTCAGCAAGCAAAGGGGAAGAAGCAGAGCCAGAACCACCAAAGACAGAGGAGGAAGAAAGGGCAGAGATGGTGAGACATTTCTTCATATCTCTTCGCATCGATCTAGAACTGCATGTGTTTTACAGGGGCCTAGTTTGCTGGGCCGACTAGATACTTTGAGCATCAGTTGTTTATCCCAAAATTGATGCACTTACATAATCTGCTCCGAGCTGAAGTGCACCCCCAATTAGCGACAAGAAAGACAGGTGGTTACAAGCGGATTTTTGCACGTGTTCTGCCTGTACGCAAAGACCATACATGCCAGCATAAATGAGTTGCGTGTACTCAGCGTGCTCCGCATCAAATGTGCATATACTTACACACCTCATGTAGCGCCTATGCGGTGAGTACCAAAAACACATGCCCTCCTTTGTTCCGCTCGGAGCGGATAAGTCAGGTGTGTTGAACTTTGTGAATTGAAATGACATGTTTTGTTTATTCACATTTGTCTGTAGATGATGAAGGTGAAACAGATGATGGTGGAAACTCTTTTGAGTGTAACAACAGAAGAGATGAGATCGGTCGCTGAAGAGGTTTATAAAAGAGCCAAAATCAAGGCCAAACAAGGTAGGTACCTGATCTGTAAAATGAAAACAAAAACCAAACTCAACTATACGAATTCCTCAGGGTTTTGTGTCGTTGCTCATTGTAGAAATGTTCGGTATTTTGCAAGGGTTGAGTTTTTGGCTCATGCTTTGTATTTGATTTGGATTAATAAATTTCATGGTTTGAACATGAAACATTTCTGGTTCTGAAATCATGTTTTGTTGTCATTTAATCACTCATTTCTTTTCCATTTCAAAATGACTGATATGGAAATAGTGGTTGAAAACCTGTTTACAACGAGATAATTCCAGTTCATTTGCCAGAAACTACAAAATTGAAATTGGGAATCTTGTAATTTTTACTCCCGTAAATATACATATTTTTGACTGAAATAATTAAGAAACTTGTCTTGTATAGATTGAGAAATTCCAAATAATTATGGAAAATCACGTATCAAATTCATTGCATTATTTTAAATTGTCAGCGTTATACTATTGTTTCTGCAGTGACAAATAAAAGTAGAAAATGAAGTCGTGGAACTTACAAAACTGAAAAATTTCTGTTCCCTTCTTTGCTATTCTTACGAAATTTGTTTGAAAACTCTTTTAAGTTCAATTTCACTTTAGGCAAACTTATTCTGTGTTGACAGGAATGGTGACATACATACAGTTAATAAAAAAAGTGCACTTGCAAATGAGGTTCCAATCAACATAGTTTTGAAATTCAAGAACAGGTTGCAGTGTTAACTTTCTGCAACTCTGCACAAGTTCTCTGATTTTCTAAATGACTAACAAGCTTTTGCAGGTGTTTAAACACTCGGCCACCAACCCTACTCAAGTATGTATCCATTGTATTGATGACGGTGCTGACTTTTGGTAGCCTTTTTGAGAATGTTTTCGAGACCATATCTAACTGCTGTTACCGTACATTGTCATGTGACACACAAAAGCCCAGAGCAAGATCTTGTCAGTGTCCAGCTCCTCTGCACTGGCCTCCATCTCCAGACTAGGTGAGTACCGGTCAGTTTTTGGCTGCATGTGACCTGCCCCCGTTAAACGCCCTCTGATTGAAACACAGCAGGCCAACGGTCATAACATCCAAAACTGATTTAAAAATCTGTAGCAGTTACAGTCAGCATATTTTAAAAGTAATATGTGAATACGTTGCTGTCTTGCCTGCGAAAAACCTGTGTGGATTTGACAGAGGGCGCTGTGGAAAATAAAGGTGTCATGCTCTTTGGGAGTTCAGCTGTTTCATGTGGTTTTCAAAGTGTGGGTAAAAGATTGAAGTAATATTTGAGATATCACTGGCAACTTTTTTGGGGGAAATTAAATTTCAAAAGGTTATTATTGCCAGAGTCCCCTCGTGAATAACCGACACTCCTCCATTTTCTTCAAGTTTTGCATGCATGCTTTTCAAATTACTTGCGTTGATTACAGACATCAAAAGCTTGATGCTTTATTTCTAAACTTGACTTCAACAACAGGGTTGTACATTTTTAATTGCCTTTCAATAACTTCATGGTTCACAAATGTTAGCTGGAATAGTTGTATGCACAGGTGTATTTGGTGCTTTGCAGTTTATAATTGACTTATCATCTGCTTGCACTACCTCTGTAGGAGGACTGACATCTTACGGCACTGACAGTGAGGACAGTGGCTCTGAGGAGGATGAAGATAAGGATGAGATAGACAGCGACGAAGAACTCCAGATACGCATCCGAGAGAAGACTAGAGCCTGGGCAATGCGTAAGAGAGAAGGTGGGTGGTGCTTGTCTCTGATGTTTTAAAAGTGTGCCTAATCATGCGTCATTGTGTTCAATTTGAGTTCGGTGGACCACCTTGTTGCGTGCTGTTTGACATCAACTACAGAACACTGTGACTCGATTTGTTTCTTGTTGTAGAAGAGGAGGAATCGGAAGAAGAGGAAACAAACGATGGAGACAGGAAGAGCAGTGTCAAACAAGAGATGGCGTCTCCAGAACAAGAGGATGTCGGACGAGGAAAAGAAAATAAAAGAAGTCCAGATGTCGACTCAAAGCCTTCCGTCACTGCCAAAACCAGTGACAAGGAAACAAAGCGGCGGCAAAGACGAAGCAGCTCGCAAAGCAGCAGCGAGTCTGGCAGTGGTAGTAGCTCAGACAGCAGCGACAGTTCTGAGAGCAGCAGCAGCAGCAGCAGCAGCAGCAATAGTAGCAGCAGTGTTAGTTTGCGCAGTCGCAGCAGGTCGCGTAGCAAAGAACGGCGTAGCCGCAGGAACCGATCACGCAGCAGATCTAAAAGTAGAGAGCAAAAGCGCACAAGATCTCGAGAGCATCGCCACAAGGAACGCTCACCAACCCCAGAAAGAAAGAGGCATAGAAATAGAGAAAAAGAACACCGGCGTAATCGTGATCGTGACAGAAGTAGATCCCGCTCTACAGCTCGAGAGAAATCCCGTCGCCACTCAAGCCGTGAAATAACGAGTAGACGACGAGAATCGCATCGCAGTTCTCACAGAAGTCCCAGCCCTAAATCTAGTAGGAAACACAAAAGCAGCAGAAGCAAAAAGCGCGAGAACTCTGAAGAGGAAATGCGCGATCACGACAGCTCCTCCAGTCAAAGTACCCCCAAATCAAGCTCAAAGCGTAAAAAGCGCAGCAAAACAAGCCGACACGAAAGGAAGGAGAAAAGTGATCACAGCAGGCCACTGTCGTACGAAGACAGCAAGTCCAGAGACTCAGAGAAGCGAAGCCGGGACAAGAAGGAACGGCGAAAACGCTCTAGGTCGCGATCTCCCGAGCACAAATCCTCAAGGAGTCGCAGGGAGAAATCTCGGTCCAGGAGCACAGAGAGGAAATCAGATCGCCGTAAGCGGAGGAAGGAGAGGTCAGAGAGGTCAGAGTCCAGGGAGGGGTCCCTGGAAAAGTCACGTAGGAGCAGCTCCGGTAAGAGGTCTGGTCCAGAGCACAGGGATAGCTCCAGATAAAGGTGGATATGATTTGTCTTCTAGCTCTGTCTGTCTGTCTGTCTGTCTTCTAAACCCCTCATTTTTTCCGAGATGAGGGGTGTTTAAGATTGTGACTATAGAAAGTGATCATTTTGTGATTTCGTCCAGTTAAACTCTGTCGTGATCAAAAGTGAGATCAACCTTTTGAAATAAAAAGAGGACACCTGTAATTTCTAGTGCAAGCCAATTTTGGAATCCTTGTTTTCAGCAATGTCTGATTCACATGTAAGCCTCCGGTTTTTGAGGATTGATCTAATTTTCTTTTCATTTCAGATGATCCAACTCAAGCTGGATCCGATCTTTATCTGGAGGGTGATTTCCTGCTGCCATGGTAATTATGGATCAAATAGTGGCAAATTCAGTTAAGAGTAAAAAAAAGTGGCTGCCATCATCTTTGTAGATTGTTGAATCTACTGTATTGGTATTTCCTGATTTATCCTTACGAAAACTCCAGTCGTTCTGGGCTGATTTCTGCTCAGCACAAACATTTACCCATTTTCTGCTTGACTCTCATGTAAAGTTGCTTCCCAAGTTTCCACCTTTTGTGCAGCTTTCTGGATCTACCACTATTGAAAATTGTCACAGTTTCTCTTTGAGCAAGCTAGCTATGGAAGAGGATTGTTTACCAAATGAATCATACTGTTTTGTTTTTGTGGTTTTTTTTTCCGTGGAATTCACGTAACTATCAAGCATTCAAAACGCATTTATTCACTTCCTCCAAGCAAACTTGCACATGTTCGGTAACAGAGAATTTTACAAATATTTGCAACTATGAGGGTAACTTGACCACTGTTGAGTCCCTGGCTGTACCAGTGGGAAAGTAAACAAATGAAGTTGTGTGGTGCAGTGGAAACTTTTTAAGGAGAATACCATTTAGCAAAATACATGTAGTTCAACAGACCGTATTATAAATGATACCTGTAATCAATTTGGAATAGTTCTCAGTTGTATCTCCCAAGGACATGTGAGTGACAGAATGTTTTATGGCATAACTGTCCAGTCTTTATAGAGCCTGCGTCTTCACTGCAGATAATGCAATCAGAATTGTAGAAATTGGGAATGCATATTGCCAAATGTTTCCTTCCTTTAATGACAGGTTTGTTACCTCCACTGGATTTTTTTATATAAAATGTGTAGAAATAGGCTGTGGAACTTTGTTCTTTGTAAATCTGTTTTTGTGATGTCAGTCTTGGCCTTGCCGTCTTGAAGAGTTTGATACTGAAAGGAAAGCCTTTTCAAATTTGGCATGATATGGCTGTGACTTTGGCTTCCAATATTGTCCTGTTATTATCAGTAGTCATAGCCTCAGAGAGCAGGTCTTATTGCAAATGATGCCTAAGACTGTGTCTAAGGCCGTGTCCGAAACGGACTTCCAGAGCTACGGCTAGGTCTATTGTCTGCGCGTCTCCACGCATTTCCAATGGAGCGAAGACCTAGACCTAGCTCTAGACGAGAGATTCGGATGCAGCCTGAATCTTGGTGCCTATGGAAAGTTACTGCCGAGTGGCTTATACCATTCCATTGGGTACCTGTTACTGTATTCTAAGGCACAGCCAATTACCAGAGGCATGAGCCACAGGTTCTTGTGAAAATAGACTGGTGCTTTGCAGATATGTCTTGAATCATCTTAATAAGTTGCGCAGTGCACTTTGGAAATTGAAATGATCTTTAAAAAGTTTTGACTATCAAGACGAGACAGTTGTGATCATAAGTTTTAAAACATGGGAGTTGGACTATTACTGATTTTGTAGGGCTGTCAAGTGTGTAGGAAAAGCAAAAGCTTTGTTGCTGAACCCCTCTTGAACTTAATACCATAAATTTGGTGTTCCTTCAGTGAAAGTTTGATTCAGAGTCTCCACAGTTTGGATAGGTGTGACAAAGCGAGAACCAAGGACGTTGTTTGATGCAACTGTATAAGTTCAAGCCTCTGGCCATTACAGGTCAAGATCAGTTTTAGTAGCATCAAGGTTGAAAGAAAATGTGATGTGAAAAACAACATAGTGTACAGGAATTTGAAACGGGTGTTTGAAACTTGATGTTTCAGCATGATGTTGAGATGTATTCTCTGCTCGTGGATGGGGGGGAGGAGTTGTTTAAGAAGACTGTAGACAACAAGAACTTGGAGATTTGCGTCTTTAACCCTAACACTCCTCAGTCCTCCAACAGGTGAAGGATTGAGGAGGGTTAGGGTTAAGGACTGTTGGTCTGAAACACCTGTCGTACATATTATGGAGTTCAAGATAAAATGTTATCAAAACTGTAAGCCCGAGAAATGCTTTGGGTGAAGATGCTGTGAAGTAAGCACAAACCTAAACAGACATGTCTTGAAGAAAATGACTTCAGCGAGCCTTCTCAATCATTCATGACCAGGGCCCAATTTTATGGCGCGCTGTTTATCGGGAGCGAAAAATCGATGCTTACAGTAGCAGAAAATTCTGTGCTTGGGGTGAACGTATTTCATGGGTTAGCAAGGAATTTTGGCTTGTGCACATGCGTACATCCTGTAATGAAGGATTCTGAGCTTAAAAGGTTAGCACAGAATTGTTCCCGCTAGCCTGGTTAGCGCAGAATTCTGCGGTAAGCAGTGCCGTGAAATAAGACCTTGTGGGCCATGTAGTGATTGGTTAGAGGTTCTTCAAGAAGCCCTTGTTTGAATCTGGAATCATAACAGCGTTGGTAAATAGACTGCATGTCAGGTTGGTTTGTGCATGTCGGAAAGCGAGCTCAAACCTTGTGCCACTTATTTGTATATTAGATCCCCAACAATGTAATGTGTACAGCTAACGGAAGATAAAATGATGCAAAAGATACCCTGAAGTGTTGTCAATGTTAATAAATTTTTTTAGTTGAAACTTTCAACATGTTTGCATTGTTCATTTCTCTGGTAATTACCCTGATTAGAAATAACTCATTAGAAATTACTCATTAGAAATTACTCATTGGAAATTAGAAGTGGAACAATAGTAAGCAAAACTTTCTTAAGAAATGTGTCCAAGTACACCATTGAAGTGATCAGGATATCAAAATGGGTCAAAGTTAGACACAACATGGATGACATAGATATTGCTTCCTCCACACTGGAGCCATTATATTTATCCAGTGAAAGATAATTGGAGACTTTGAGGCACTTGGTGGTGACAAACATACTGGTCCTTTTTACTAATTCCGAGCATGCGTGTGTTGTGAGGATGTGTGCATAGTTCTGAGCATACATGTATGCAATACCTTAAAAAAGGACTGGTTTGCCTTCTGCCACCGGGTCTAAAGTCTTTGGCTGTGTCTGAAACGGGTTTCCAGAGCTATGGCTTGGTCTATTGTCTATGTGTCTCCACGCATTTCCAATGGAGCGAAGACCTAGACCTAGCTCTAGACGAGATTCGGATATAGCCTTTTATTGCTGGAACTTAATTTCTGTGGTTCCAAATTGCCATCGTGATATAGGAGATGTCAAAAAACAGGAAAACATTTCTACACCCCCAAAAAAGGGAAAGGCGACAGGTTACTGCGAATGATACACCTGTTAATGACATACCTGTTTCAATTGTATTCAAACATGCAATTTCAAGACCACTTTGTTTCAGTGTAGACCCTTTCCAAAGATATTTTGATATGTTTTGGTCAATTCTGAAGTTAAAAGGGGGGATTTTAAAAGTAAACGTGTGTAAACACCTACAAAGATGTTTTCCCCACATTTTTAAAACCTAGCCCTGCAAAATGTTGCCTCATCATCAAGTGGTTTCTCATTGTTTAATCACATAAGGTGTCTTTTTTTTCAGTAAATATTTTGAACTGGTAGCTTTTTATTCAATATGGGCAATTCACAATAGTGTGCCTCCAAATGCAAGAGTTTGCAGTGTGTTGACCAATCACAACGTGCGAAATTTGTCGACCTTTTCCAAACGTGCACAGCGTCGACAGATAATGCAAACTCTTGAATTGGAGGCACACTATTGTGAATTGCCTGTATTGAACTGTTTTAAGACAAAAAAAATTTAAAATTTCGTTAGTTTCCATTGTTCCTTGGTTTACTTCGTTTGTAGAGGGCGCCCTATTTGTTTCGTGCCGTTTATCACCCGGCTGTGCTGTTTACATTTTGTATTTTTTCATCGACCGCGCGCTTTGTACTTAAGGCAACTGGTACCTGGTGTCCTTCAACGGTTTTTATGCAGTAAGGGTATATGGTCGACCGACTGTATCGATCGTTTGGCAGAAAAAAACTCTGTTCGGGACGCGTTCTGCCTGTTGATTGTGAGAGACAGACCTGACATTTGGTCAATTAAATCAACTTAAATGGGGGAGAGCTCGTCCTTAATAAAGAGGTTAGTTCAACGTCATTATCTTGCTCCACTTTACAAACACACAATGTACTGGTACGCCTCCTAGTTTTTAGAAAAACTGATTTTCTTTTCGAGAAGCACTGGACATGTATTCATCATGATGCATGATATGAACTTGATCTTGATGAAGCAGGTTGTCTATCTAAATGACAATGCTGAATGCATTCTTTTCGTTTTGTGACGGCTGAATTTTCAAAGAACTCATGCAGTATGTGGATGCAGCTTTTCCAGTGTTTGACATGTTTGAAATTCAAACTAGTAACATGCATGTACTTGATGTAGGCCTTGGCCTACTGCCGGCCTTTGCGGGTTATCATACAATACAGCTAGATTCATGGGAAATGTTTGGAAATACACGTACATGTAGTAGGCATATGCTCCAAAAAGGCAATTGGCCTAGCCTCCACTGCATCACTAGTAATAGGCTAGGCCTATTAAAACTGAAAAGTCTAAATTTGCATTCATTTCAATACAAATGAGTGGTCCCCCACCTCATGATGATAACTAGGCTTATATAAAAGGTTACTAGAACGGAAGTTATGGTAAAATGTATGGGCACCAAAGTCCTATTTGAAATAAATTTAGTTACATATGTGACATTGTGTAATTTAGTTACATAATATTAATAATAGGTTAAATAGGCTACACTTGTGTCTTTTGGTGACTTTTTTGGCCATATTATTAAGTTTAGACAGTTTATAAGTTATAAATTGGGAAATAACATACAGTTTGGAATATCTGTATCTCGTATGCAGTATGGAACTGGAATTGAAGGTGGAAGTGAACCAGAATTTCTCCCAACCCTGGGGGGCTCTTAGCACCCTTCTCCCACCTCTTTGTAATGGTGTAGTTGAGCTGAAAACGATAGTGTGCAAAGTAATTTGTAATAATAACTATCGCATGTTTCAGTTTTCTTCTTTAACCCCAACAGTCCTCAGTCCTCCAACAGGTGAAGGATTGAGGACTGTTAGGATAAATGCAAATTTAATCCAAAATGTACCACAGGTAAGATGCAAAAATAAATCAAGGTACCTGTACATGTACAGATTTTCATTCGTATTTGTCTGGAATTGGGATTGCTGTGAACGTCACCATGTCATTTTGGGGGTTGAATAAATAGTTCAGGCAAAAAGTTGTACTGTGGATTCAAAGTTTTTAAAGTTAATTAAGGTATGTAGATTGTGCAAATTACATTTTTATTCCTCACGCAAGTATCCCTATAGTATTATTTCGGTCAAAATCGACGGGTCAGACAATAATTTCCAAAAATAACATTGGATACATGCATAGCACCACCAATGTTGGGGTCCATGAACCTAGCTACTTTAAACAAAATGAAACAAACAAATGTTAGGCCTAACATGAAACAACTGGAAAAATTAACATTAATTCAAGGAAATCTAGCCCTTACATGTAGGTCCATATAGGCCTAGCCCGGGGCTAGGGCCCTCTAGTACAACCAGACTACTGGGCCCTAGTCTAGTCCAGGTAACTATGACCCTTCAAATTGCAGGGTCCTAGTTACTTGGACTTGCCTAGTCTAATATCAAATAGTTTGCTTGCATCAGTACAGTACCTTGAATTAAGACAGGTTTTGTAATTGTACATACACAGCAGCTTGATTGTTTTTACACGATCTGTTGGTCATGTGCCACAGTTCGCCAGTTGCAACTGGTATTCGGTGACCATGGTGACTGTTCCTTAGACATGCATGAAATGACAGTGAACTGTAAGCCCTGGATACTGGCATCAGCCAATCACCTGTAGAAGATTATTTCAAGCAATGAAAATGAGATTTCTGACAGGGTAGATTGATAGAGGAACACCGTTGTGCTCAATGTGCATGGACATTTAACAAGAAGCGTGAGTATGAGCATTTCTTGAAATCAATGTCTATTTATAGATAGGGCTGCAAAAATGAAAGAGAAAAGCTTTTTGGTACTCAGCTAAACCAAAATAAATAAACCAAACCAAACTAGATGAACCATTTCTTGTTTATTCTTCATAAAATAAGATTAAGAAATTAGGCTTAATGCAGGATGATATATATATTTAGATTCTACAAGTTTTCAATTTTTTTCCGTGAAGGTTTTTCATGTCCATGATATTCTACATACATTGTAAGTTGTTCGATAAATAGAAACACTGGTGTTTTTGGTTTGGTCCAATAGGCAGAAATCAAAGTTAAAAATGCAAATTTTCTTTATGTATGTTTTTTCTTTCTGTCACAGTGTTAAGCATTTTTGTCACAGCTGGCTGCAAAAAGTCAGCACCTATAATTTTGAGAGCGGTACATGTATGAAAATGAAATAAAAACTGAAACGAAAAAAGGCTAGAGCTGAATTGACTTGAACACAGATTGGATTTCACCGTCAAATACTGTAAGTGTAAACAGATACGATGATGGATCACTGTAGAAAATTGAGTTTTCCCTGCTATTCCCCCCTTGGTCATTTCCATCCATTGTAAATTCATGACTTGAGGGCTACACTGGCCTAGATTCCTAGGCACCATGTTTTTATTCATTAGATATTTTTAGGGGCTTTGTCACAAGGGATGGTCAGACTTTCTTGACGCTCATCTTAACCTGAAAACATGTTTGTTGTAAAACTGTGCTTGTGATAGCCAAACACCAATATTGAGTTTGCATTTTTATTTTTCATCCCTGTAGACTGGAGCATTTTATTCCAAAGACCCATCTACATTTATCTCAATAGAGCCTCACAAACGGAGCGGTAAGTGATAAATTTGTGTTGCTCATTGGTTCTGTAGTGTACCTGTCAACTGATGATGGGGTTACAGAAACGTACGGGTACATGTACGAGACATAAAAGAATTATTATCCATCACATTGAAATCTTGTTGAGTAAAAAGGTTTTAAGCATCAAATTACGATTGTGTGCCCTTTCAGCACAGTGTCTATTGAACCTCAGCCAGACAAATTTTAAGTTACTGTCGGTCAGTGCTCTGTTTAAATATTTCATTAACTTGATGACCAAGCTCTGTCACACAGCTCTGTCAAACAAAGTTATTGTGTAGTGTTTATAAATCTCTTGCTTGACTGGCCACAGAGGTGACCCCTGGATGAGCCAACTTCCCAGGTACTCTGTATTTCCAAGGCCTCAGATTCTAAGTTTGGATTACCTAAAGAAGATTGGAAAATGAATTTTCTGATAGTGCCTAGTGCTTTGTTACTCTCCGCATTGGTACAAGTCTTTCCAAGGCAAGAGCTTTATTTGATAAACATTTATAAATATCTCTTTTATTGTATGCACATATGTTTTATGTACTGTACTTTCAATTTAATTTGAAGGAATAATACTCGTAGTTCATTTAAAATTTATTTGAAGTATCAGACTCAGAATTTGATTGACTTTGTATTTGTAAACTTTAATTTTCAAAAATGTTATTCATTTGACCTTTTCTGAGGAAATCGTACTAAAGTTTAGTTAACAAAAAAATTTTTTAATCTGTGTTTTTTTTATAAAGTTCAACATTGAGTTGTGCTGTATTAAAGAAATACATGTACATGTATTGAAAGCTTAACCCTAACAGTCCTCTGTCCTCCAACAGGTGCAGGATTGAGGCGTGTTAGGGTTAAAAAGTGTTCTACACCAGAGATTACATACAGTTACATACGTGTACATGTAGATCAATATTGTGTTACTTCCATGCACATTAAGAACTTGTTGGGTTTGTGTGCATGCAACAATTTTTGCCCAAGTGGCCAGGAGCAGTGTAACCAAATGTGCTACAGAAATCAGCCTCACTCAGATGTGGCAGCATTCGAATTTCAAGAACCCAAGAAACAACGTGTTGCAATATTCATGGCTGAGTACGTGACTGTCAGAGGTCATCTGCCTTTGTCGGGAGGCTGTCCCAGATATTAAAAGCCAAAAAAATTGTTGATTTTCATAGTGGTTTTCCTTCTTGCTCTGATAAAGCTGTCATTTTTTTAAGTATCACTGTCTACGTTGACACCATCTGTCACCACTAGGAACAGATGGTGCTAATAGTTGCTCAGTGCCCATTAGTTTATCCACAAGTAACAGCTGTTTTGCATATTAGCTTTATCATCAATTGCCTTCTTGTGTTTGCAGTGTTATCTGTAAGCAGAACGGTGCAGATTTTTTAAATTAATAAACTCATGAGACATGATGGCTTTGATGAATACAGTGTGTACAATGTTTTTTCCATATTGATAGATTTGCAAAATACGCCAGCTTCAGTAGACAAATTTGAGGTACTGGATTTTTTAAAGCTCTTTTGAAGGTAACTTTGTAGCTTTTAAAGTTCCTCGCGGTAGAATTGCTTGAGGAAGGCAGTTCACAAGTGTTTTCTTATTGTTTTACAGTGAACTTCAGTGATCATGGACAGATGACATGTGCGGGATGTTGACCCGAACCTCTTGACTTGGACATGATTCAGTTTGCTGTGATGAACTGCTGGCCGGAAATGTTTACAAACAAATGAACACAGATGAATTCTTGATGTCCCGTGAAGCATCACCAAAGTATGGTCGAGGATAAAATCCACCTCAGGAAACCCAATCCCGATAGGGCGTCTTCTGGAGACTCCATCCCATCTCACAAATCAGACAGCCTCAAGATGGAGACAAACAACCGTGAGGGGACTCAGGAGGATATCATGCGACGGAGGGAGAGGAACAGACCCCGCATTGAGAGACGCCACACCTCCAAGGAGGAGTCCTCCACCGACTCGGCCTACAATTCCTCAGACGATGAGGAGGCTGACATCACAACTGAGGACCATGCCACGCTGCACTGGTTCTTGGCTTGGGCGGCTTTCCTGGTGGGAGTGATGGTGGCTGCTTTGCTTGGGTTTGCTTTCTGCGCGTACTTAGCCACGACACATGAGAATCGACTGTGGTTCAGCAACATCATGGTAAGTAATTAATTATTTATCAACAACAAACAATTCAAGATAGAATCTTTCCACAGTCACTGAGGACCATTGTTTCAAGTAGGGTATGAAATAATCCCACCCCAGGTTCACACCTATTCAATTTTGGTCAAGGAACTATTATCTTCACTTGCGGCTAGAACTCTTTTGGGCAATGTTTAAACTCTTTTGGGCGATGTTTAGATGTATTTTGGTGCGCTGATACTGGTCCTTTGAAGCTTTGTCACCGTGGTGAGAAATGACTTGTTTTTGTTCATCGGCATCTAGCACTGAGTTCCGCCGATTATTTTCTCACCACTTGTCTTGGCGTCGTCCAAAGCATCCTTTTTTTGAATAATGATCAGATGGCGGCAACTTGCCCAGACTTTGAATTGAAAACATTTTCCCCTGACTTCAGCGCAAGAGAATCAGGTTTCATAAACCTGCAATCTTTCCCAGAAGATGAATCTGGGGGCCTCTTGGTGTTAGCAGTCTGCCATACATGTATGTCCCATGTGGCGTTTAGTTTCATTGAGGGTAAGAAACACGAGCATCATCTCAGTGTTACTTCTCAAGCAAAAGGTTAGACAATTCGAGCATAAATCACATCACAGCAGCGTCTAGTTTGTAATCAGAATTGGTCAAAGCTTCCATGGTCAAGAGTTGAGTCAAATTTGAGACTGTTCTTCAGGGTCGTTATACAAGGCACTAAGAATTACACTGACTTATTTTCATCACTTCCACTTTTCTAGCATGTCTCTGTTCTCGCATTTATTTTGTTCTGGGGATTGGAAATTGTGCTCTCTCCAAAATTAACGACTATTGAAGCCCACGTCACCCATGAGACTAATTAAGCTCCCGTTAGTCACTGTCATTTTTATACATGTATGCTTTCCATACATGTTTGTTTGTACAATTTCCATGTACTGTTGAAGTGGGAAGGTGTTTGGGAAAGTACATGTACATGTATTACCTCATTTACATGTATATTAAATATGCATGTCATGTGTATGAGATTTTATACATGTATGTGTGGTCTTCATTATCAATTCGGTCATTTTGTGTCACAACACTTGTTTGACTGGTCACTTTTCATCTTCATTTCAACCATCTGTTTGCCTTCAAGGTTTGTACATCCTGCACATCACAGTGAAATTAAGTCAATGATAAATTTGTGTTTGAGATATTTTATGATGATGTCTCACCAGTTTTTGTGAAGAGTAATTGAAAATTAAAAAAGTAACAACTTAAAGACAGGATATTGTACGTTAATTCAGTGTTCCCGGACAAAAAAAGCATTTAGAATTTTGTAATTGTGCATGAAAAGAAATCGTCTGTTCAGAGTCATGCCACGTGCATGCGTATAGCGTACAGGTACTTTTAAACTGAAGAAGAAATCATGGTACCCATCCATTGCTCATTTTGTACTTGATATTAGTTGTGCTTGATTGCAAAGATACTACTGTATTTGTTGCATTGGAGTTAACATGTAAATGGCAGTATTAATACGTCTTGTATTCCTTTGAGGGGAAAATTTCCTATTGGTTACCCTGATGGGAAGCAGGTGTGCTTGTCTGTATTGAGTGTATTGTGCACTCTCTCTACGAATGCAGCTCACACAGCTTGGGACAATTACAAACAGCCAGATCTGATCAATAATTGGAAACCCTCCACACTCTCTCTCTCTCTCTCTGCTCCCTCGGTCTTCCTGTGGTTTGAGTTTTTACCGTGGGAATTCAAGCGTGATTCTGAATCGGATGATAGTGACTGCGGCCTGAGTACACCTGAGCTGGGGGTGTTTGCATGAGTGAACCCATCAGCCTGACGGCAGAATCTTATTTTGAGTAGATGTCTGTTGCAGGAGTGACTACATGCAGGGATGGGACCTGTGTGTTGTCAAGGGCACTACGATCTAAGATAAAGAATGTGATCGGAGGAGACAATGATCGAGAACGGGCAACAAGAGATTGAAGTGCTTGGAAGCCCAGCAACATCAGGAAAGTAAATCAATATTCTTTCCCCCTGAGCGGGAAAGGCTTTGTGGGTAAACAACAAGGCAGGGGGAAATGACAAGATTGCCTGGCGTGTTTTTTTCCTGCACACGGCTCCTCCTGTTTTTCATCTTTTAGCTTTTTCTCTCTCTCCTGACTTGGGTGGGGGCTCGCTGATCGGAAACTGATGAGTTGGGAAGAGTGTTAAAGGAAGCACTCGTGCATCACAGGGGTACTCTGTACGTGTGTGAAGTAAGCCGGCTGCCGCAACGAGGAAATTAAAGTGGCTCCATCTACATGTATGTGGGCCAACACCAGAACTGGTTGGAAATTAATCAACATTACTGCCTGGATTATTGGTAAATGGAAGAATATCATTTGGCACTGGCAGAAGGTGCGGAGTTTGCCAGTAGCAGAAACCACCTGGGAGAGCTGAACTGGATCATGGTGTAACTACTTTGCATAGGGAACAAATCAAGGAGCCTACATGCGTAGAGTATTCATTTTGCATCCAGAAAAGCTTGGGAATTCAACAGAATCTGTGGTAGACATGAAACTGTTGCGGGCAACTTCTGCTCAGCTCTGCAGCGTGTGTTAAGTACAACTTAATGCCACCTGTTGTGTACTGCTGTAGGCTAATGCAAAGTGCCTCTGTGCTCTCCAGGAAACTTCCCAGACCTACTGAAGCTTTGCAGTAGATGATCTAAGTGAGGTTTGCATATTTGCGCTCCGTGTTACAAATTCAGCATTTTTGAAAAGGAGTGGAAAGGTTTTAATGATTTTGAAATGGATGTGCGTGTCATTTTGTGACCAATACATTTAAATTAATTGGAGTTGGCTGTTTTTCCAACCCAGAGAATATTTTGCTTTTGAGTCAGCAGGAATGAACAAACTGACAAGAGGTTAGCTCTGTGGAAAGATTTGAGTTCTTTTCCCTTGCTTTATGGTTCAGGCAACTTGCTTAGAACCACAATGTACGTGTCTTCACAAACATTGCCAGCCCTGTAAATTATGTGATGCCTGTAGGCATATTCCGATTCAATTTGAACCTCCAACCTGCTAAAAGAAGTTGACAAGAAACTCCACTGAACTGCAATTAGACCTTTGCTGAGCAGCTCTACATGAGTGCAGACTTCAACTCCTACTTGCATGTATGTGTGAGGATTTCCAACTTGAACTATTTTGAAATGATGCACCTTGATGCACATGTACCATAGTTAGCACCATCCTAGCCTGAATTCAGTTAACCACCTCCTGTTTGCGGAGCAAACAATGTTTCTGCCACCTGTCAGCTGTTGTTCCCTTCAATTCAGATGTTACATTGGGGACATCGACGTGGCTACATTGTACACTCTGTTCCAATTTCTTGTTTAAGGAGCTAGGAAAGCGATTGTATCCTTTTTCGTTTTTGAATGTCAAAGTGTGCCTTGATGTTCAGCAGGTGGGGTACAGTTAAGGGGAAATTTGCCTCAGGATACAGATAACAGTTCTGCCTATAGATAAACAGAACACTCTCCCATGACTTCAACCATGAAAGGCAAGTTGTAGAGCACATGTAAAAATTTTACCTTCACTTGTAGAAACATTTAAATGAAAACAGCTGTCCAGACTGGCCATGCATGCTGTGTTTCCACAATTTTCATTCTGGCAAAAAGTGTTTTGAAACCAGAAGCAAGGTGCGTAAAGATTATTTTTTTTTATGTTTCTGAAAGCAATCGGCTTGTCTGAAATCGCTTGGCTTGTCTGAAACCACAGTTCTGTCCTTTCAGAGTTTAGACACCCACTGACCTCAAGATCAAAGCCCCCTCTTGCAGCCTTCTGGGGGTCACAGTTGGAAATAACACCCTCATACATGTACCTGTTGGCTAAGTGTCCTGCCGTACATCATATGGTGATGGGGGGGGAATGCACTGTTTGGAAGTCAGAGGAGGGAGTCTGAAGGGCAGAAGAGAAATGTAAACATGTTTTGGAAATAACTGTAAGGAATGGTAGATTGTTAAAGGAAAGAGAAAATGAGAACTGCATGTGCATGCAACGTGTATGTACAGGGGATTTATGTCTTATGCACAGGTGCATTGTACATGTGTACTGTTGACCAGTTAATACACTGTGCACAATTACTATTTGGTCTTCTGGTCTAAAAATTAATGAAGTAATTTTTTTTGTTGTGCAAACTTATGCTGTCCTTTTCTTTGGCGAGAGGCCATGACTTGAAGTGGGCCATGGGATGACTGAATCAACTTCTGCAGTGAAATTTTACTGTGAACACTGTTTAATGAGGAATTCAAATAAAGTCATATCGATCCATTAAATTATTCTAAAATTTGATAAAGCTTACACAGAAATTGCAAAATTTCAAATCTGATATATGCATTTTTTAAAAACTAATTTTTCAAGTTTAATGTCCTTAAATTTATTGCTTATTTATGGACATGTACGTGTACAGACGTGTACATACATGTACATGTACTCTCAGCAACTGACCCCCAGACAGCCTGTGAGTGTACTTTATATATTTAGATTCTGTTTCCACTTGGAGGAATTGATCCAGCCATGTTCTCCCCTGGGTTTGGTCCACAGCTCCTGCGTCAAATTATCAAGTCAACTTTCTGCTGCTGCAAGGGGGCTGGGAAAAAACGAGGCAAACAGTTTGATTCACCAATTAGCCTTGCCTTGGCAATGTGGCCTACACTGTACTGTACATTGCTTCCTTATTTTGCCTGCTCTTTGAGGCTGTACTGAAGTTGAAAGTCTGTGGGGACATCATTACCTGGAAGTATCTGTCAGTTGATAGTTTGCATTTGTTTGTGTCAATCCCCCAGAGATATTTTATGAGGTCCTTCTCTCCTGTTGACAACCAGTTTCATTTCCTGTGGTCTGCCCTCAGACAGTACATCTGAGGTTACCCTACTGATTCAAGTCCTTTCAATCAAGGAATTTAGGACCAAGTTATTTTGCTCTTGCAAAAAAAAAAATGAAAATCAGCTTTATACAAGAGCATAGATAACAAAACTAAGGCTGTTAAAGAATGAACTGTTTTGTTACACTATGTACACTGGTCAAACAGCCAGCTTTCCATAAATTGCAGCCGTCTTCTTGCACACCTGCCGCAGTAGGTCGGCACACTGCTGGGTCCCCCTCCACCCCCAAAATGATTGCCGCCTCAATCGATCGCAATAAAACAGTGATCTCATTTCCCTGTTTGTCAGCTATCCATTTCATCCACTGAAGCTACCGCAGAGCAGAGACAGGAAGAAACCCCCAAACTGGGTCAATTCGGATGGGCAGTTACCATGGCAACGGACCAAGGGGGGTTGTTAATTGATTGGTCGGTATACCGTCACCTGATCTGAGTGCATTCGTTAACTTGGGTGGATTTCGTTTTGTTGGCAAAGTCTTGTTAGGTTCGTTTTTCTAGTGTTAAATTTTGAAGGTCTTCTCTGTTCCTCAGAAAATTCTAGAAGATTAGAAACCGTACTAACGATGCCATTTTGATTAGCAGTTGCTATAGTGATAGACCATTAAAAGGGAATTTTGTAGGATGTTGTTCGAAGTGCATGTATGTTTCATTGCTTGAGTACAAGCATGGAACTTTTCCTTGGATCAGCTAATTTCCTCGTTTTTCACTTCATGCTCATGCCAGTGAAAAGTGAAAAACAGTGTACAAAGTTTTATAAGATGAGAATTTCCTTGTTTTTTGTCCAAGTCCAACTTAAAGGAACATATGTGCATGTACATGTATGAGGAGTACTGATAGGCAACCTTTTTAATATGTTAAGCAAGATCCAAATGGTTACATGTACATGTATCTACCCGTACATGTACATTGGTATGTACATGTATATTCATGTGTACCGGGGGGGTATGTGGGTTTAATTTGAATGCAGCTTCATTGGTTGCAAAATCCTTGCTGTAACCTCTGTCTTGGAAAACCAAGAAAATGCAAATTTAGGATGCCACTGTTGCACTGACTGATCAATGCAAACATTCCGAGGACATCAAAATTCATGGAATAAATTTTCCTTTGGCTCACAGGTACAAAACACCTTCCGAGTTGTATTAGCCAAAGCAGACCGCAGTAATACGGCTCATCTAAGATTGGCCGTGTTCCCTCACACAGCTCAAGCCTCTCTGCATGGGAGAAATGGGTCAGAGAATTAGATAAGTACTTTCCCCACATCCCCCCTTCCTTGTATTTTAGCATGGATACTCTCATCAACGTCGGAGAGGACTTTCTGGTCATTGGCCGGCAAATGCGTTTGGTGATGAGGCTGGGCACGTCCATTTGTCATGCTGTCCCTGCCTAGGGGCTGGGGGAGGGGAATTAAAGATGCTGTAAGTAGGTCATGTGGCTGGCTTTACCATGTATCTGTGCCACTCCCTGTGGGGAGGTTCTTACATGTACATGTGGATGGAAGGTCTGTCAGAGGATCAGAAGGAGGGCTCTCATTGGTTTGAGGCTTGCTGAAGGGGCATTGAGCATGTGCTGACATTCCAAGAAGATTTTGTTGGTGATGAAAGGCCAGGCTTTTAAAAACACATGTCGCAGCATGCCACCAATGGGTTCTAAAACACATGGGCTCATTCCAGTCTGGGGTGCTTCAACTGCAGTACAACTGTACATATGTACTAGTGCCCGGATTTTTTTTTTTTCAGTTTAAATGTATGCTGCTCAACAGCTTTGTATGAAACATGCACGGAGAAAGATAGAGCAAATTGAAAAGCTGCAATTTTACTGTGTTGTATCTCAGTGTTTACCTGTGAGCTATAGAGGGCGCTGTTTATTCACCAGCGAGAGCCAGGAAATTGTCCTTTCCTCTTTGTTGCCCCCTCTAGCACCAAGAGGGACGACAATTCACTAACACAATTATGCTAAGCAAATTTGGAAGTGCCCATCAACTTAGGAAATTTTTAGGATGGGGGGGGGTTAAAACGTAGCGATTGCTTCAGGCGGAAATTTGTCTGGAATGGCCAGACAGTCTATTATCCATTTGGGAATTCCAGTTCTGTTGAGCAGGTCTGTCTGACATTTGAAACGGAATGAAGGGAAAGATGGTTGCTGTTTGGGGACGGAAAATGATCAAACCCTTAGATTCTTTGCACTTATAAACTCCTGTAATCACCTTAAAGTGGTGTACCGTTCTTCCATCATGCTCACATGCAGGTATGTTTTTTTTAATACTGCAGGCAATATCAGTTGGGAGAGTGTATTGGCTTGAGTTTGACCTCCTCTCCTCCTCTTTAAAGTGGTTGGAACTCCCCAGAAAGGGCCGGCAGTTAGGGAGTCCTGTTTGAATGTAAAGAAGAAATAAATATATTGGGTCAAAGTGCAGGTAAAGAACCGAATCCAAACAATGAGCTTGATGGTTCTCTTTGGGACACATCCTACATGTACATGCAGTTATGTATGCTTCATGTGTGTACCTGACTGTTTGGAAGTTTACTAATTCGAAACATCAAAATATTATATTATGAGAGGGTAACAAAGTTGCGGCAACTCTTTAAAACACAGGCAGTTTGCAAAATCCCTCAGAAAAGGTTTGACGGCTGCTTGAATTGGCCATTTTGTGTCCAAGTTGTCATTGATGTCTTTTATTCTTTTATTGTGTTTTATTCATGTGGGGGATTGAGATTGCCATGTTTCAGAGGTGAGAGACCCACGAAAAAGTGCTTTTGTAACTAATGAAAGACCCCTTAGGATACCCCGGGGTGGGTCTGTCAAGCTTGCTGGCCCCCTGAATGGAATAAGTCCTCCCTTGTGATCATAACCCAGAGTAACTCTTACAGCCCTGGAGAAAAAAAGATACACAGGAAACCCGAATCTGACTCATATTGCCCAGAGAGATTGGTCTGCATTTCTGCCTCGGCGTTGTCGGGAACTTGTTCCACTCCATTCCCCCTTCCTTTTTATTCCTCAGCCCATTTGGAACTGCTAGAGCACTTAACCGTAGCACCAAGGGGGCCTGTGGAGAGGCCGCAAGTGTTGAAGGAAACCTCGGTGAAAATTTTGTGGAAAGGAGGTGTTCAGACCAGGAAGATATCCATCTGAGACTCTCTTTGGTGGCCCATGCGGGAGTGTGTCTGTGGGGCCTCCGTGGGCGATTGTATCGACTTGATGTTTTGATTTACGGTCTGCTCCTGGACTTGGAAGGAACATTTTTAATGTACAGTGTGTACATGGAGCTGAACACAGGTGTATCTTCAGTTCTTGCCAAAGTGTCTTTTCTTGGGGAGATTGAGGATGATTGTGAGTACAGATTTCTGGGTCTACATTTACTTCCAACTGTCGACAGCGAGTTTAAGGATTTACCTTAAACTAACTCTTCTATGCTACTCTTGGATATATTTTCGTGTTTGAAGAGTCTTGTACCCATGAGTCTCACTATTGCCAG